ATACCCCAATAAGTTACTTCCGATGAACCCAAAGATACCACGATTATACTCCCTCATTAAACTACATAAAGAAAATCATCCCATACGACCAATCATTACCTCAATAGATTCTAGTACCTATAGAATAGCAAAATTCCTTATAACCTTCATGAAAAATGTCATTGAATTTCAACCAAGTCACACAATTAAAAATAGAAACAATTTACTAACGGAACTTAACAGCTTAACGTTAAAGGAAAATTACCTTCTAGTTTCATATGACATAACCAATCTATACACTAACATACCTACTGGAGAATCATTGGAAATTATTAAAACCATATTGGAAAATAAATTAAAAGATAAAGGGGAAATAGACACAATTTATAATTTGTTCAAATTATGTATCGAACAAAATTTTTGCCTGTTTAATGATAAAATGTATATGTACAGTGAAGGTCTACCAATGGGTTCACCCCTCAGTGGACTAATAGCTGACATTTTCCTCAATAAACTAGAGAACGACCATATAATAAATAATGTCAACCCTTTTAAGAACAAGATCATAACATGGAAACGATATGTAGACGACATATTAGTAGTATTTAATACCCAAGACCATTCCATAGCTGAAAATATGCACTCATACCTTAATGGATTACACCCCAACATAAAATTCACCACAGAAATTGAAAGTGATAATAAAATAAACTTTCTCGATGTCGAAATACATAAAATGGACAATGACATACATTACAACATTTACAGAAAACCCACACAAACAGACTCAATTATTCCCTATAACTCATTTCACTCAAACACACATAAGATGGCAGCAATTAGAACATACTTACATAGAGCCTTTAATACATATTTGAAACCGGAAAACTTGGAGAAGGAATTGAACATTATCAAGCAGATAACAAGAAATAATAATTTCCCAGAAAACTTGATTGACAAAATGATAGACAAACAAAAACAAAAGTGCCACCTACAAAACAATACATCATTAATACCCTGTTATCAGAGAAATAAACCTAAATATTGTTCTTCAATACAATACCCAGGACATTTAACTACTAAAATAAAGAAAATTTTTACTAAATATGATCTCAATATAACTTTCAAAACGAACAACACTTTAACTAATTCCTTGATAAATAATAAACAATCGTTCAATACACTCGACAAAAATGGAGTATATAAATTGAAATGCACAACTTGCAACGCAACATACATAGGTGAAACAGGTAGAGCACTAAAAACACGGATAAAAGAACATAAAACTAGAGACAATTCTAACTTTGGTAAACACCTAATATTTAATCATGACCACGAATTCAATGAAAACAAAGATGCACACATACTCCACAATATTAATAAAGGACATTTAATGGAATTACTGGAGGGATACGAAATTAAAAAATTTATAGCTAACAATCCCAATACCCTATGCCTTAATGAACAGGTACAAACTTTCCATAGACCAATTTATTCATTCCTAANTTTTTTATCTTATTTACCTCGTATTATTAATAATTATGGCTTATTTGTTACAATTCACTCTGTTTTGTTCTTAACTTTAATAATGCAATCTTTTACGTTTCAATTCTGTAGCAATCTTGTTTTTATTTTTGAGTCATCACTTCTTATGTTAGATGCGGCCGGGACGGTTGCTCCTAGCAACTTTACCTGACAATAAAAAAATTACTCGTTTATCCAAAACATTTCAACTTATTCTGTGAAAATAAGATTAATTTTGTTCCTTCAAATTGAAATATCTAATTATTTTTATAGTTCAATTTTAAGGTATGATTGTAATTAACATTAACCAAAAACAATTATTACAATGAGGTTGATACGACCATATCACTATATGAATACAAGAAATACCAACAACGATTACAAATGGAACTGCAACACATTCGATTCCTCAAAACGTGTTTAGAAGAGAGACTCACACCAAAATTTACAATACACAAATATCCTAAACATTTGGATGACAATATGATTCAAAAAATGATAGAAAAACAGATTAAAAGCGAAATCAAAAGGCATTACTCAATAATCAACATAACAAACATCAAACTTTACCAATTTTATCAAGAAATGACAACACAATTTGACTTCTTACAAATTGAAGATATAATTAACAACTCTAAGATGCTACAGAGAAGTAAAATGGAAGATGAATGGAGAAAAAAGAATAAGAAGCTGGAACAACTGCGAAAAGAGAAAAAGAAGAGAAAAGACTCAGATGATGAATCGAAATATAAAATACATCATATTTTCCATGACAGACTGACCAACTTATCAAAGGTACATTTCAATAAAAATGAAATGAAAATTCTCAACAAAAGTAACAAATATGCCCCCAAAAAAGAACCAAGCTTACGAAGAACTGCATTGGAAATTGAGGCTACAATTAAAGGTAAACCTAATGAAGGAAACATTTCAAGAGAAATACAACAGTTATTGATCGGGGAAGAAATTAAAAGAGATAGAGACAAACTCCAAAACGAGAACAAGAAGAAAAGAACATTAAGAGAAGAGCAGAGGAAAGAAACAACAACAATACAAGACATAAAGAGAAAAGTAAAAGACAACCAACTGATAATCACCAAGGGAGATAAAAATGCAGGTTTGGTTATACTAGATAAAAACGAATATAATATTAAAACTGAAACTTTCCTTAACGAAAATAACTTTAGACAAATTGAAAGAAATCCCACTGTTACTTTTAATAATAAGGTTAGAAGATATATTAACAAAATAAAAGAAACCCTATCCAAATATGAAAGATACCCCAATAAGTTACTTCCGATGAACCCAAAGATACCACGATTATACTCCCTCATTAAACTACATAAAGAAAATCATCCCATACGACCAATCATTACCTCAATAGATTCTAGTACCTATAGAATAGCAAAATTCCTTATAACCTTCATGAAAAATGTCATTGAATTTCAACCAAGTCACACAATTAAAAATAGAAACAATTTACTAACGGAACTTAACAGCTTAACGTTAAAGGAAAATTACCTTCTAGTTTCATATGACATAACCAATCTATACACTAACATACCTACTGGAGAATCATTGGAAATTATTA